TTGTGTGTTTATAGGAACTTAATTCTACATTACTTGACGCCGTAAGTCCTTCACATTATTGCATATTCGCTCCATTTTAGGGGATGAATAGGGAGTTCAGGGACATAAGTTTATTTCCAGCAAATACATTCACTGGACACTCAATCATGCATGAAAAGAGTATTGAGGCTGGTTTGATGATAATTAATATCAAATCCGTATTATGTTCTCTGAGAAGGACAAACTGCAAACGCCCTTTACCAACAACAGTAGTAAAGCCGATAAACCCACATACTTCAGAACCGCAGGGGTGAGGAGACCAGGAAGCTTCCGAAAATTGTGAGAATAGGGATTTCATTTTAGCAATTAAACTAGTCTACGGTCCGCAAGCCCAGGCGTGGCCCCACTGTTGAGTAAGCATTGACTAACTTTCCTGACAGACAATTCATAGACCATGAATTACAGGGCCATGTGCTTCCTGGGCACGTTAAACCACGCATTTACAATGTGCGAAGAACCTATTAAAACACTTCATCAAGTTAGCACCACCACTGAGCTCGATCGTCTGCTTTCGGTCTCCAAATAAATATATAAATTGTATATTTAAGGCCCAAGGAGCCCTTTCATTACAAACTTAGCGCTGTAGTAAAAATAAGTACAACGTTGGTAATAGCAGCTGCGTGTTATAATTATAAAGTCCGATCCGATTTGCAATGGACTCTCTGATAAATAAATAGTCAGACATCTTAGACAGTTAAAAAAGTACTATATCGGTGGCAGTGTTCAACGAGACACCGATTTCCAAAAATATAGGAAAATAAAAACTGCACAAACAATCACGGCATTGCAATAGTAACTCAGTGGGAAACCATTTTGAATTAAGGCAGTACAGCGGCTCAGAAATCATGAGAAAAATTATGTCACGTTCGAAGGAGATGTGGGCACAAGAATACCTCCCAAAGGATGCCTTCTTCATGCATATCTGAAAAAGCAACGGCAAGCGACACCGCGGCGATAGCCACGGAAGTATCCTCTTCTCAAAATTATCGGGCAATCATCGTCCGTGACAAATTTACTCAACTTGGAACGCAGAAGCATCTCCGAAAATAACCTTACGAATTCAGTATGCATCACAGAAGCACGGGCATGCACGGTATGCATACTTTCGACAATTTGTCCTGAAAATAGAATGAGTCTATACGCGAAATCTTGCATCTGTTTAGAGCCACCGGAACAACATCTCTGGCGAAGCATGTTGAAATTCCGAAAGTATAATGACTCACACAACATCGCAACGAATTGAGAGCACGCCTCGCAGATAACCGAAACCTATTGGCAACATTTCCGATAACAAATGGAATGAAGCAATGCTGTGTACTCGCTCCCAATTCATTTCAACTTCGGCCTGAACATCAACACGGAGAATGCGATGGGCAGGCTTCAAACGGCCCAAAATGGTTATTGCAACGGACCCAATGTTACTGTCAGTACGACTCACCAGAGAGCAGGGAAAGACTTCAAGTACTTCAAGAGTACAATAGCAGGAAGCATAAAAATCTATGACGAAATTATAAGTCTTATCTCCCAAACTAGTCAAGTATACGGCCGGTTGAAGTACTAGATCCGGAGCCATCGTGACATCCTACCAAAACAAACTGACGGCATTCAACGATGCTCTAGCAGCTTTCTGAACGGGACAGTGAAGTGTGTCTTCCATGATGGCTAAGGTTGAAGAATTAATCGTTTTCATTTCAGTGACAGGAAAGGATTACAAACACCAGGTCCTAAAAAGAACCCACGAGGCTAAGCGACACGTTTGCATAAGGTCTCCTGACTAATACTGACGAATAGGCGCATTAATAATATGTCGGCAGAGAAAGTAAAAACTGACGTTAAAAAGGTACAAGGATTTAATAGAGCTGCTAGTTGAAAAATTAAGAGAGCTCATCGTGACGAACCGCGTCGATAAAAACAGAATGCCGTAAATCCTCGTTAACAAGCATGCCTCACCTTCCTCACAGACTAAATCAATGATCGGGGATCAAACGGAATTCATAAGCAGATCGAACCGAATCCATGTGACTTGTCTAGCCAAATGGTGGCATACGGAACTGGCATGTACGGCACTGGTCAGGTTATGTGGCATACGAACTGTTCCCATGTATACTTAAATACAGTTTCTTACCTGGCCATTGAATAAAACACTACGTTATTCTTCATACTCGAGGTTTGCCTTGAATCTTACGCGTAATCTTTCAGCCGTGACTATGGGCAAAAAACTTTCAGCTAGCTAGGCGCGCACTTTTCTATCTGGTGTACAGCTTGACCATGGCGTTCAAGGTTTATTTTAAACTCTTGCATTATTTTTCCGCTTCAGGAGGATATCCAAATCACCGCAGTAGATCAATCTAATATAAACAGTTTTGCAAAATGGAACATTAAACTCAAAGAATATGAAGCAGAACTAGAGAACAAGAAGGTACGCACCTTTTATCCATTCTCATTTTCAAGAAAACGTTATCAAATCTTGCGGACTTAGAAGATGAGCTGATCGTGTCGGATGCTGAAGTTCATCCGTATCCTTTTGATCAATATTCTTTTAGTTCCGATATTTTACAGGTTTCATCCTTGTTGCTTGGGCGCAGTATTTAGGCGTGACTGCACTCCAGGACGCTTTTTCTCTATGTTCTTCTAAGGGTTTTCGTTAAAACGATTCCGTTTCGTCTTACTTTATAGTTTATACTGGTACACGAAATAGTTTATTCTGACAGCTGAACCAAATCTCTAAATTTTCGGCCCCAATACTGGTCGCAAGGTTTAGGCAAATGTGCGCGTATGATCTTAGCGCTGGGAGCTAATAAGGTTTTACATGTTGTCCTCAGAATAACTCTGCCACTGTCCGTAGCCCATATATTCCTCGAATTCTCCTCCATTTATCTTTCACACTAACTTGCTTATTTGATACACTGTTGTCTGATTTTTTCGGGGTACTTTTACTGGCTGAAGGAGTGAGAGTGTTGTTGGTGTATTTCAGTACCAAAGGTGAAAAACGAGATAAGCAGACTTTTTGCGAGCATAGTTCACAAAGCAAACCGTGACATTGTAAGCAACTGGTTTTAACCAGTGCGTAATCTTATAAATACAGATCACGTGAAAGGAATTAAATGCCTATGAGACCTCTCAATGATGCGTTTCTACTGCATAAATCTGGGCGATTATGGAATAGATCTCCAGGTGGGGGTCTGTCGCCGGAGCCTTAGGATTGTGTCCAAGTGAA